CATCAATCTCTCTAATTCCGAAGTTTCTTCCATTTTTGTTTAATAATTGTCTTATTATTTGATCAAATTTTATTTCCTATTTAGTTGTAAATTCTGATTTACCAAACAAATTTTTTTGAGGCTCCAGATTTTGATTTTTTTAAACAAAAATAAAAGAAACTTCAGAATTAAAGAGATTGATACAGAAATATTTAATAACATTAAGTTAAAATGTAATATAAACCCACCAAATCTTATTATACTAGAGCCTGGGCCAGCATCTAATAGTAATGAAGCTGTATTTAAGTCAATTAACATATTTTTAAAAGATCTTGATCAAAATGTTGTTGTTTTAGCATGTGATATAGCTATTTTTAGAAGAACTAAATTATATAAAAATAAAAATTTAACTTGCCAATTTATGCTTGGGTAGTAGCATACATCAAAAGTTATGTGCAGCACTTTAATAACTGTATTTAGTGAATATAGTTTATATAGTATAGTGGCAAAACTTGATATTAAATTTCTTGAGAAACTCAGAGCAAAATGTAAATTATTGTTCATCATGCAATATATTAGGATTAATACATTTTGCTATAGCAATAGTGATTTATTTTTATCCAAAAAAAATAATATAATACAAGATAAAATAAATAATATAGAAATAGAGAATACTATAATGAGTAAAAATAATAATGCCCTAAAAGTTTGGTATTTATATTACCATTTAGCTAGGTATTAAAAAGCTTATTGTGTAAAAATTTGTACAAAAAATCTAAACATGCAATTAAAAAATTTGGCAGCATTTACACTCCTATTTTCTGTTGCTAGAAAAACAATTATGCAATATTAATAGTATTTTTCTTAGAATTGATATTATGCTATCTACAACAATATGAATTGCTTAGACATGTTGCTTCAGCAAATATTACTAAAGAATATCACTATCTAGCTTTTGATGAAGTACTGAAACAATATAGTATTAAGTTTATCAAACAGAATTTAGCTTCTGGTTTATCAGATCCAGTATTTTTAAAACAATAAATTGTAGCAATTCAGGATAAATACAAGAGAATACTAATATTATATAGTGAATTTGTAAGTGATAATATAATAGTTTTACAAGATTAAGCAGTTAAACAATATACAGAAGTTTTATGAGAACTTGTTAATGAACTTACTTGTATATTTAACCTTACAAATCCAAAGCAACATAATCTTTTCAAACATGTACAAAAAATAAACCAAAATAGTTATAAACAAATATTTACTTTTTATGAGATTGGGCTTAATAGATTAGACAAACTTTTGCAAAAAGAAGTATATAAAACTAAAAAAAGTAATTAAAGGAAAATAAGTTAAAAATATAATTAATATCTCAGCTAAAGAATATCAAATATTAGTAAAAAATGATATAAAACTATAACTTTGAGATTTAAAAAAACTTAGTAATATAAATTTTTAAAAGAATCTAAGTAATAAAACTAGAATTTATACTTTTTTTTATTTGTATTTTTTATTTATTTAAAAAGAATAATAAATTAATAATTATATAATTGGCTAATATAACATCTTTTCTGATTTTAAAAAAAAAAATTTAAAAAAATAAATAATAACAAACAAAAAAAAATAATACCTAGCAAGTATAGCTTATAGTTTGAAGTTAAACCACAGCAACAATAAATTTTGTCTAAATAAAGAGGTTTTTGAGAGAAACCCTAACTAATAGAATCTAAAAGAAAAGAAAAACAATTAGCAAAAAAGTAATAGGAATAAGAATGGAAAACAAAGTGCTCCTATATCTGAACTATAATACTATACTCTAGTAAAATTCTCAATATCTTACTTGAAGTTAAGGTTCAGGAAAAAAATACAACCTGAAAAAAAAACCAATAAATAAAAGAACTTGAAAAAGCTCAAAAAGGCAAATAAAACACTTATTTAAACTTGATATCTAAGCTTAAGAGATCCAAAAGCTAAGGTGAAATACTCAAAAAATTAAAAAAAAATATAAAAATATCTAAAAAAGATCTAAATTTAAAAAAAGATCTGTTAAGTTATTGAATGAATATTTCGATCTATATACTTATATAAAAAATTTTAATTTACTATAATTTAAAATTTTACTAATAAAACCTACTTTGTGTTTATAAATAACTATATAGCCTGTAATTTGTATTAGTTCGTGATTAAAAAAGATCTAATACAAGTTAGCTTCATAAAAATGATCTTGGCAATGAAGCTAAAATTTATACTTTTTTGTCTTCTAATATTTTTCTAAAAAAAATAAATCATATTAAATAAAAAAGCTATAAGTAATGGTAATAAAACTCGTAGATTAAGTTTTACTAATACTTGAAGATCGAATATTTAGAGAGTTTTGAGGTTTTTCTTTGCATGATTGAATAGTATCTATAAAATTCTTGTATAATATTACTATGTAAAATTAGTTAGTATAATATCTTCCCTGACTGTTATAGACAATTCTTGCATTGTTCTTTTTTTTTAAAAGCTTTTTCTAACTTTGAAGGTTTGTTTTCTATTCTTTGATATTGTGTATATAGCATATTGAAATATTGATTGCTTGCTTATCATTAATAGCTTCAATCTAGTTATTAGCTAAGTAGATATTTGTAGAACTTGTTAAAGAGATTTCTCTATGCTATATATTTCTGATAATTTTTTTAAGTATAAGATTTTTTTTTGAAATCTGATTTCTGTTTGTTTTTTTTTTTACTATAGCCTGCATTAAGTATTTTCTTTTTTAATATATTTTTGTTTACTGCTATAAAAATTCTATTTTGAATAATATCTTAAGCTTGGTCTATAAGATCTCTCTTGATTTTTTGCCCTAATATAGAAGAAAGTAGAGTATTTAAAATTTGGCTAAGCTTTTTCTTTTCAAAAACTTTTTGTAGATTGCTTACAAATTTTTTTTAATTTTCTTTGGAGTAAAGATATATTGTCTTTTTTTGGCCTTATTGTTTGATTATTATGATACTTTTAAATACAACCAAGTAGTTAAGTAAGAGTTGTGCATAGGCTAGGTTGTGGTTACTATATGTCTATATACTTATATCTAAGATACATGCTTTAGAGAGCTCTAAAGCTAAGTTTTACAGATCTGGTTAATTCTTGTGGCTTGCTCTTGGCCTGGCTAGATAAACTCTTTGCTATCTAGATTTAGTATTTGGTATAAGTTTATAAAATCTTGCCTTATAAACTATGAGTATAGTGGTAGCTTTTTGAATATATTATTTGTATTATTTTATCTATCTAATTCTGTATCTATTATGTGATTAAAGTCTTCTATGATTATATATTATACAAATATTGTTTGTTTTGCAATTTTGCTAATCATTTTCTGTTAGATTTTTTTGGTTATATTTTTATTGTTTGGAGAAATATAGATTATAAAAATAACTAGCTCAAGTTATTTAAAAAAAAAATTGCTTCAATTGTATATAGTGATTTGCTTTTAACTTGGCAAAGGTTTTTTTTTATTTTTTGCTAATAAGTAGACCAATTCTTGAACCTTTGTGTTTTTTTTTATCTGCACTTGCCCAAAATCCTGTAAATTCTTCTTTATCAAACCTTAAAAAACTGCTTTCTTTATTTAATATATTTGTTTTTGCTACTCTAATTATATTTATTTTTTTTTTCTTAGTCTATTCAACTAATATAATACTCTTTGTTTTATTATTTTTAAGCCTATTAATATTATAAGAACTAATTTTTAAATCTAGATTGTCTTTTGGTTTTGGCAGGCTTTTAGTTCTACTGTTTATATTTGTAGAAATGCTTTTTGTATTTTTTCAGAATAATTTTTGTCTAGTTAGCAATATTGTCTTATAGTCTTTTTCAATTTTGAATAACTTTTTTAAAATCTCAGATAGAGCATCTTGTTGTATATAGTTGTCTGCGTATAGCTTAGCTTTATCTTTGCCTTTTTTGTTTACTTTGTAAATGTTATAACTTGTTAATTACACAGGTATACTTGAGTTATTTTCATTATAATTCTGTAGGCTTGTATTGCTTGTGTTACTATTTCTTGTCTAGTTGTAAATCTTTTTATGAAAAACCTTATCTTTTGTTTGTAGAGTCACTCTGTTATTACAAATTGCTTTGGGAATATTCTCTTTATTAGTATTAAAATAGTTGTTGAGATTTCTAAAAGAATTTGTAGATCTTAATTTTTTAATTGTATTTTTACTTCTATAGTTTTCAAAATTATTAAGAGGTCTTTTGCCCTTGTTGTTGATAAAGTCTACATCTTTATACTATAGTTAAGTTGTTACAAGATTTTTTTTAAAAAATATGCTTAAAGTTGTTTGCTACTCAAGCTTGGTATCAAAGTAATATATATTAGTTTTTTGGGCTTGGATAAGGTCTTTTTTTAGATTTGAAGTAAATATATGCTTTTCTACTTTGATTGCTATTTTAATTGCAGAGTGTGTATGTTGTGTGTCAGATTAAAACCTGTATCAGATTGCACCTGATGCACATCAGATGGCTATAGATTGACCAGTATTAAATGATCGGCAATAATAGGCCTAAAAAAACTTCTAACTTTACTATAATTTTACCCTAACCCTAATCTAACTTAGGCCGGGTATCATCTGACGCAAGAATCGATCTGAGGCACAACATGTATACAGCTTGTATATTGTATTTCTTAAGTTAATACAAAAGCAAACTATTCAGAGCTGTTTTGAATATATTAGAAATTATACTTTTATATTTGTTTTTTTTTTCCAAAAGAGTATTGTTGAACTTTTTTGAAATTACTCTATAAGTTTTTCCTTAATCTAGAAATAATGCCCAATTTTCTCTAAAAGAGTTTTCTTTCTTTTCTATATTTGTTATAATTTTTATATAGGCTGCCTTAGTTTTGAAATTTGATTGCCAAGCAAAAATTAATACTGTGCCAAAATACTTAAGATATCTTTTAATTTCTGTAGTATTTAATTTTTTTGGTAAGTCCCAAAGCATGAAAAAATATTGTGATTCAGGCTTTTGTGCCAAAAAGTTGCTCTTAGATATCTATATTAAATTATATATAACTTCATAGTACTTAGCTTTTTTGTTGTTTTTAATCAAAGCTAGCTTTGTAGTATTTGGTAGGTTATTTCTAACTTGTTCTGTGAGACTATAGTCTAGAGTACCATATTTATTTTCTAGTAAAAATTTTTTGTTTGTTTTTTGTTAATCTACTATTGTAATATTTGTTGGTTCTTTTTTTATAAGCTGCCTTTTACATGTTGTATCAGCTGCATTGCTAGCTATAATATTGCTATTGCTTGAAGTATTTGTTTGAAGAATATTAGTTTCTATAAGAATTGGTTCAGACTTGATAACTACATGTGTGTAGATTATCTCTATATTATTATTTTGAAATAGATTGTCTTCTTTGTTTTTTATCTAAAAATTGCTACTAATATTAAAATTAAGCAATATTTTTTCTGTTTTAGTTAAACTTTGTTTTTTTGTTTCCTTGTATTAGCCTATTTATAGTGATATAAAATATTGCAAATAATAGCTATAAGACAGGCTTTACTAGTACCCTAATATCTTTATCCACCTCCAATTAACTTCTACATGTCCTTCGTTTCACTCACTTTATCTACTATCTTAACTTCCAAATTGGTATATTAATGCTTCAGATAGATGCTTTCTGCTTTCAATTTGGTATGTCTAATTTGTATCTCTACTTGATGTACTTGTTGGGGCTTGCTACTTTTCTATCTTCTTTTAAAATCAAATTTTTCATATAAAAGAGCTTTCTTCTCCTCAGTTTTGTTAAAGAAGTTTTTGTATTCTACTAGTTCTAATACACTATACATGTTTTTTTGTTTGTTTGTTTTAGTTAACATGTAATTGTTTGTTTGTTTACTTGTTTGTTAATATGTTCTGTTTATTTTGTTTGGTTATTTGCTTACTTGTTTGTTCATTTCACAAGCAAGTTTGTTTATTTTGTTGTTTAGTGATTTGCACTATAGTATAAGAGGCTATGCCCTAGTTTTTACAATATTTTTTAAAAAACT